TAGCATGACGATCCTTAATGCTTAGGAAATACATGTAAGTTGAAAACAATTTTTTTAAGTTACCGGGGAGAGGTTGTTGACAAGAAGAGAATCATGTCTACAACCATCAATTCCATGGACATAAACAATTTTATAGTTTGCTTTATCTTTCGGAACACCATGCTCTTTGTAAGCCAAGTATCTTCCATCTCTAAGCTTTATTCTTGGTGCTGTCACAGGGGGGCCATCTGGAGACCCACAAATCTTGGGTGGTGGAGACTGGATTGCCTGATAAGCCCATGCCAAACTCCCAACAAAGAATACCAATAGTATCTTTGTAAATATCCCTGAAATTTTTGTGTTAAAATTCCAAATGCAGCCCAGAATTTTTGAATCTCAAACTCAAGCAAGTACAAAATGAAGATCAACGGAAAGAAAAATGAAGAACTAGCTACTGTAAATTCACCAAGTGTAAAATATATAGCTCATTTTAGGTAATAGGATATCTATTCTTCTTCCAAATCAAAACCATTGAACTTTCAGAAATTAAATTGGAGTTTAACAACTTAAGCTCAAAACTACAAAGAGTCTGCCTAGCTACCATCATGAGAGAGAATCTACTTCAATAAATTAATTCAAATTTCTTTTTATTTCCTTAATTTGTCTTAACGATTACGTGCTATCTCAGGGATCCTGTGTTCAAATTCGAATACCTTAATTTCGTTAATAATCCATCAACTCGCAGAACAAACATGATGAAGCCTAAATTCTTATGTCTTAAACCAAAAGAAATCAAAAATTGAATTGCTGCCTCAGTGAATCCCTTCAGCTTAACTCTGAGTTGAGTCAACGACTCAACAAGCAATTTAGAGTATTCCTATCTGATTATAATAAAGTAACTAGGATCCAAATATTAAATTCCATCTTTTCCCTGTACTTTCACATCAACCAAACACATCAATCAAGAGCTGAAGAAAACAATCCACAGAACAACAATGAGGTCGATCTTCGTTGCTGATTGTTCAGCCTTCGATCCAACCGATGTAAACTGAAACTGTTTTAGCACCATCAGATCAGATAACAGGTGAAATGGAACGAAACCTACCTGACGGAAGCTTGAACGAACTGTTCTGCTTAGCTCTTCTAGTGTGAGCTCTCGCCGATGCTGCTGATATCTTCCTGTTAACTCCTCCCGCCATTACCGCCAAAATCGACTACTCCCAGCCAACAAACTACCTATCACCTCAAAATTACCGAAAGATTTAAAGGAGCTGTCCAAAACGGAGGGAGAGATCTAGGGGTCAACTGCGCACTGACACAGAGATCTTGATACTGGCACGAACCAAGCATAAGGGTCTGTTTGGGAGAGCGGTGAAATAATATGACAAGGGAAGGAAATAAAGTGGCATTTGCCCCATCCCTCTGAAAATGTAATTTTCAAATCCTAAATCTGCATATAATCCTGTTTAAAAATATTTCTTACTAAAG